AAATATTTCGAAATATCTTACGTAATATTTCGTAATTTGATATTTTGCAATATTTCAAAATTTCTTACGTAATATTATGGCTATTTTACATTTTGTAAATTATTACGAAATATTACGGTCTTATAAATTTGCTGATACAGATGGTTTAAATGGGTACCCTCCTAGTTGGAGTGCAGATATAGCAAATAGTGTAGAACCTTTGGGTGGACTACTTAAATTAAACACCAAAAGTGCACATGTAGCTTGATGTACTATCATTGTAATTGCATAACATTATTTCAAATCTTAATAAAAGCTTTCAAGTCAAAGAGATCTCTTTAATATTAAAAAAAATAAAAATAAAAAAATAAAATTTATATAAAAAATTTTTTAAAACCTATCCAGTTGTTATAGCTGTTTTTATAAATTCTGAAACAAATAAAAAAATTGTTGATAAGAGAGTTAACAATTATTAGGTGATTTTTTAGAGGAGGTTAAAAAAATTGAAATTTTATATATAAAACTTGATAAATTATTTATTAAAAACTAGAAGGAAAATAAGTCTCTGATAAAAAAAAATCAGATAATAAATAACACTGCCCTAACCAAATTAATAAATTTCCGAATTTTGTTAAAGTTGGTTACTTATTAATTCTAACTTGGTAATTTATCAATTTAGTTATTAGTTAGGTAATTTGAAAAACCTTTTAAAATATTACTTGTATTATCTTAAATAAATATGCTAAACCAATAGTATCACAGAAGGGCTAAATTCGAACTGGGGCCCAAGATCGAAGAACCGAGCAACCAGGTCCTATGCCGGAGGACACACTAGCCGAACCACCAGGTTGTTGCACCGGAGAAAAAGAGCATATACTCCGAAAGTATGAACCAAAGAGAGAGCGTCTTTCAGGCACCTAAAGCCTGGGCAGACCAACTCTTCCGGGTTGCTGGCTAGAAATTAGAGAGAGACCAATAGAGAATCTGAGTAAGGAGATGGTTCCAAGTGTGGGTACCAGGATTGTTGTGAACCGTTAAAGGCAATGAGTATGTAATGGGAAACTAATTAGGAAGGTTGTGGCTTGAGATACAGATCGGGTTACGGCAGTGCTCTAAAGGGTAGCTTAAAATATGGACCCGGTGTCAGCAGCACAACAGGTACTAACTAGGAAGATATTATGGAACATGCAGGTAAATGCATGTGTGGGACATGTACCGCTCTGTTGGGCTTACTTTCGAGAATAGTAAAGTGTTTTAAGTTGGCTGTTTATGTAGTGGTGTCGCAAAACCTACATACCCTAATAGTGAGTTATACCCGCGTTAAGATAGGCATCAGGAAAATATGATAAGATCAGAGGGTTTAAATAGGTATTTCCCTAGTTAGGGTACAGATACGGCAGATAGTGTAGAACCTTCAGGTGGACTACTTAAATTAGGCACTCAAAAGGTGCATATGTGGCTATATATACCTCCGTCTATATGTATAGTACCTAAACTCAACTTAATAAAAATCGCTAACCAAAAAGGTCTCCTTTAATTAAAAAAATAAATAAATAAATAAATAAATATGCTAAACCTATTAAAATAAAGACTAAAAGAACTTTTACAAATTTGATCTAAAATTAAACCTTACAAAAATTTATTATTGTCTTAAAAAGCAATATTTTAAATTGATTAAGTAATGCATCTAAATTAAAATCTTGCAAGAACTTTTTGCTTAATTCTTGTATAATGCCTTTGTTATAGCTAAAGTCATACCAAGTTATACTAATTATTAAATTAACTGCAAGAATAATTAAAATTCATCTATTAGTATTTTTTTATAAAAATAAGTGAACGATCGACAAACCTATTCTTCTCAAGTATATTTTGTATATAGTTGGTTATCTGTATGCTGTTTATAATAAATCTATATTACTATAGATTTATAATAAATCTATATTACTATAGATGACTAACTATACACAAAATATATTTGAAAGCCAGATTGTAGATTTTTCTTTAATGGTACTTATATGACCAACTTTTGGTATTAAAAAGATAAACTTGAAAATGTTGTAAATAAAAATTTTGTTGTTACAATAACTTGCCTAAAACAGTGATTATTAATTAGTATATGGGATCTTTGCTATTAAAATGACCCTTCAAGGCTATGTTGATTTTGTAAATAAATATTAAATTTGCTAGCTATCTAGTAATCCAATTTGAATAAACTTTTTTTTATTTTGTAAATCTCAATAAAATCTACAAATAAAAAAAATTTATTCAAATTGGATAACTAGATATCTGGCAAATTTAATTTTTATTCACAAAATCAACATAATCTTGGAAAGTCATTTTGATAGCAAAAATCCCATATGGGATTTATACTATATATATGTATAGTACAAAACCTTAAACTAGCAAATAAACAATGAAATTTTTTTGTAAAAAACAAGCAGAACAAAAGTTGCAAATTTTATTTTTTAATTTAATAAAATTTGAAAGGACTATTTTAAAAAGTTATTAATAAAATTAAATTTTGGTTACTTAGAGTAGTGATATATATTATATATTTTTACTATACCCCTTTTCTCTTTCCCTCACGTAAGAGAAATTCTTGATTGGCTATTATAAATATACTATATTTAACATAAGGTGTCGAAGACCCCCTCCCTCCTCAGGATATTATACAGTATAATATTTGTTATTACCCTTACAGAATATTAAAAAATATAATAAAAAAAAATTAAAAACATAATAAAATATTAAAAATATAATTGAATTATTATAATTTTATTTTTGTTGTTATAAATAACCACTCCTATTTGAATTTATAAAATATTTTTTTATATAATATACAGTAAAACACAACTCTAAGCTTGCAATTTTTAAAATACAATATATATATATTTAAAATTTAAAAAAAAGATTTACAGTATATACTGTATATTTTTAAATAAATTAAACTTACTGTAATTGATTTTTTTGTATAAAATTTACATATAAGAATCAACTCATTTACCAATAAGTACATCCTAGTAAACGTGTCATATGTAAACATTCATTTTGATAATGCTGTTTAAAAATTTGATTTGCTTAACGTACAGAAGAAATCTTTTTGTCCCGAAAATTTTTTACGCAACCCCACAGAGCACAATAAAATGTTATTCTTTTGAATAACCTCCAAGAATAGCATAAAAATTGGTCAATAATAAGCTAACACTCTTTATATGTACGTAGCCGTTATATATTAAGTAGCACTAATTATTACATCGCTATTTTAACTAAATTGTATTTTACAGATATAAGGATTATCCTATTACATTAAAAACACTGCTCTAAAGCTAAATGGTTCTTAAAATATTCAATCTAATAATACTTCATCATCTTCGTCGTCATTAAATAACGAATCGGATCTTATAAGAGTATCACAAGTGCAAATTTTTTCAAGATATTTGGGATCATTATCAATTTTATCTAAGATCTGCTGGGCCGCTAACTTCCTTGCTGCTCTAATATTAGTCGAGCCAGCATGTGCGACTGGCATTTCGTGAATGAATATGGTGCATTTCTGAACATCCGACTCTTCCGACGTATGGTTTCTTTAATTAAAGATAATATATTAACGATTAATAGATTAATTATAATGCGAATAACAATGACATACCTTAATAATATCTCAGTACATCCTTCTTTTTGCATATATTCGGTTAATTTCTTCACTGGATGAACTTTCAAAGTTTCTGGGGTGACATGCTCAGTTAAAATAGGTTTTATCCACTTATCAAACACTTTATGCAATACCGCAGGATCAAATTCAGAATCAACGAAAATGGCGCCCATCATGCTCTCTACAACATCACTCATCACCTTGGGAACATCTAAATCACTCCAATATTCTCCAACTGCCTCATTTTTCTCTCTCAGTTCGTTCACAGTGTTAACAAATTCTGTTATTCCATTCATTAATTTACTGGAAAAATGAATTATGTGCTTATGAAGATTGATTCGTTCACAAATCGCACCAAGAACCTGATTGTTGACAGCTGCATCTTTTAGATCAGTCATTATTCCAGGTGCACCATCAGGAAATTTCTCGAATAAATACTTTACTGTCATGAAATCCAATACTGCATCACCTAAGAATTCAAGACGCTGATAACAAGGTGTTGCAGAATTTGGAAGACTCGCATGAGTCAAGGCCTCAACAATTAAAATTTTATTCTTGAAAGTATGTCCACATATTTCTTCAACTTTTTCAACATTTATTTGTCCAAGTGCTTTTGCATTAACGCGAGGTGGGTTTTTATTGTTAATATGGAAGTCATCCCATTTATCAATATCTTCCATTGAAATGTCCAAGGCTTTAGCACATTTGAGAGCTGCATCGACTTGTCCACTCATGTAAGCAGCTCCTAGCATTGCTTCAACTACATCAGCAAGGGTTTTATCTGCTAATTCATGAACTTTCTTTTGTTTAATTATTTCAATATCATCAATATTAGCTAACATATTTGCGGGTCGCCATGCTCTACGATTAAATGGTGATGATGTAATATATTCGTAGAGGCGCAATTTTTTTGCCCCACGATAAAGTTTTTTATTACAAATAATATGAATACGTTGACAATGTAATTGGCCCTCATGCTTATCAGGAAACATAACATATAATCTGTTTGTAACGCAAAATTTTAAGAATGAATCACCTAATGTCTCAAGACGTTCATAATTCATTTCCATATTAGCTGATGGTGTAGTTATTGCTTCTAAAAGCAAATCGTCTCTCATAGGTATGTCAAATCGAGTTCTTAATTCTAATGCTAAAAGCTGTGAATCCAATCTTGTAAAAATAACAGGTAGCATAAGAGCAGATCGAAAAACAGACGCACGAATAGGATACTGTTTACAAAACTCTGGTATCACATATGTAGCTGTTCGACCTTTCATAATTGGTAAAGAACCAGGAACAGGCTGTAAGAAATTCATAACTTTTGAAATTTTACGTACATGAAGCAATGGTTGATCTGGGCACGTTAATTCTAGATCAAAATGTTTCTTGTAAAATTCAGCAAAATTTTGACATCCAACTTCTCTAATCGCCATGCCATCTGGTATGGGTGATAAAGGGTTTAAGTCATAACAAATTTTTTGAACAAAATATCTTCGTAAGTTATCAGAATAATCGATTATAACTGCATCTTCTAAATCAGGAATATTATCGAGATCAATTGGTAGATGTTTTTCAGCGACTGCTCTTTTCATTCCTTCCCAATCAAAATAATCAAAATAATTTTCGTTAATTGGTGCGTTACGAACAAGTGGTGCAACAAGGTATGTGAATTTCTCAAATTCACATTCAAATTCTTTGTTTGAAATTGATGTGAATGTACGTAATGTAAACTTGAAAATTATTTCCAAATTTTCTGAATCAATACTAATTGGAACGGAATGAGGAATTACATTCATTACTTTAGCTACACCATGAAAATATAAAGTAATCGGTGGAACTTCTGGAAATTGTTTACGCGTTAACAAACACATGGTGCGGTAATATTGCCCATCATATTTTTCATATTCTAATTCTAATTTCAAAATTGTAACATAAATTTTATCTGGAATTGATGACATGTCTTCTTCTTCGTTGACCCAGAAATCTGGACCTTTAAGTTCATATTCTCTCTTTGATTTTCGAGCACCTTCTACTAAACCATATTCATCTCTGACTGGCTTTATCATTTCATGATCTTCCTCAATCCATTCTATCACAGGTAATAAATGATCATTTAATGCTTTTTTTTCGTACAATTGAAGACATGCTTTAAAAGCCGCTGCTTTTTTAGCGTTACCCCGACTCGTAGAAACTTCACTTGAAACCAGACGTATTGGTGCATTATTTGGTAATGATAAATGACAAGTAAACCCACCACCATTCTCTCTCTCAATTTTGAAATCTGGTCTCAAAATACAATAATTATCACCAGGAAGCTTTGAGCAATAATAATAAATTAAAGATATCGATGATTCATAGCTCAGAAGTGCACCTGTTGATGGTATAAGATAATAATGTCCATCATCATCGTCTTCGTCATCATCGTCAGAATCATCACCATCATTTCCTAACAACAATTTACGATCTTCTGGTAGCATTTGACACCAATCTTTCATATCTTTTTCTGCTTGTTTCATTTCCTTAAGTAAACCATATTCTTTTAAATTATTAATCTCAATCATGACAATGTATTTAGAATCTTTGCGACGAGCTCTGCCTCGAGATTGTATATAGGCTCTCAATGTATTGAAAAAATCAAATCTATTTGAAATTTTATAACATATATTATTATATTATTATATAAAAAAACATGCACATTAACAATAATGAGTAGAAACGATTAATACCGGATAACAACGTTGCAAGGTTGAATATCCAACCCCTCTTCAGCTACATTAGTAGCGATTAGTAAATTAATTTTACCCTCGCGGAATGCATTAATAGTCCTGTTTTGTTCTTTAAATTTCATTTGTAAATCACCTTCTTCATGAGAACCATGACCCACAAGTACACCAGGTCTAATAAAGTTGAGATCATCAATCTCTTTTATTAGAAGATGAAGAACGTTGGCTGTGTGTCGACGTTCAACAAAAACAATTCCACAAAAATTATCAGTTTGTTCTTTAAAACATTTTAGTATTTCAATTAATTTGAATACTTTTGGTGACAAAAATTTTAGATCACATTTTGGGGTTTCAAATTTCCAATTATCAACGACCTCCATAGCTTTTCGCACAAGGCGATCTTCCTCTTGCACTTCCACGCAAAGTTCAGGATTTAATTTACCTTCTAATTTTTCATGTAATTCATCCAAAATATATTTCCAAACACGATCGGAACACCACGGACCAAGATCTTTAAGCGCTTGTGATGCGCTTGTTAATGCCCGACTGAATTTTTCAACATCAAAATATTCTTCTCGAAGTTTATTATAAAGCTCAGTAGAAGCATACGAAGGAGGTGATTCGTACTTTATAGCAATCTCATCAGGTCTACTTACAAATTTGCAAACTTCATCTATATCACTTGCTGTAAATACTCTAGCATTTAAATTATGTTCCAAATGACTAAATCAAATGACCTGATTAGATAATTAATATTGTGCAAATGGCTTTAATAATATGATATGAGTGCCTGCGATAAATTTTGTACCTAGCCGAATGAAGAGCGCTACGAGTATTTACGGGAGAAGCCGTCATACCAAATATCTTTGGTTTGCTTTCATCAGGGCATCGATCATAAAATTCTCTCATAATTAAATTGTAAGGATGTTTCTTTGAAGTATGATGACATTCATCAAATACTAATAAATTGACCTATATATTATCAAATATAAGATAATTGTTGCAAAAAAAAAAAAAAAAAAAATCCGAAATGACAGTATATCTTTCACGAAATATTTAATCAAATTGATTTTATCAATAATAAAAATGATTAAATTTATTAATACTGACCTGTGATAATGAGATAAATCCATGACGTAAAATATTTAAAAATATTTGTGCAGTCATGACAAGTACATCAAAATTTTCAAAATTATTTCGCCATTCTTTTTCGCTCCAAAGGTCGACACCCATTTCACCACAAACATGTTTAACTTTAAGATCACAATTTGCTTTGATTACGTTGGCTTGTTGGAACACCAAAGGAACGAGATTCACCAGAAAGAAGGTGAGCTTGGTCTTTAAAAATTTCGAGTATTATATTCAATGAATTATGAATAAAGTTATAATATAATGGTTCGCGTCTAACGGTGATCGTTTAGAACCATTAATTTACCTCTCTTCGATGCATTCTTAACAATCTCTCCTCCGCAGCTACTTCTTTTATAAGCATTACTGCGATAAAAGTTTTTCCACTACCGGTATCTAAAACTGCAATGACATTATCTTTCTTTGCCCTGTCGAAAAGTTCAATTTGATAGCTTCTGGCGATAAGATCTTGCCTTGTCACTTCAGGAAGTGCCGGTATTTTCACATCGTTTATGCCTTTAATATGTCCGTTCCCTTTTTGCTTTTTCTTTGGTGATTCACCAGTTATCGTATCCCCATTTACCTGAGAGCTCACATCAAAAAGTTCATTAATGTTCAATGTACTCGGTGCATACGACATTTGATTTATATTGTTTTTGAATTATAAGGTTTTTTTTTATATTTTTTTTGGTTCGTTTAAATTGTGAAACTCTCAAATTTTGAGTTTAATACCCCTTTTTATAGATATTACCGTTATTAATAAAATAGAAAGAATTTATTGTAGTTATAAAGTACTTTTACGACAATACATTTTAAAGGAAAATAATATATATATCACATCTCACCTATTGACCAATCGGAACGTGAAATGATCGATTGCTTAATTGGCTAATGCAAATCGGATAATTTTTTGCAGTTAGCGTTAGCTAGTAGTTAGCTGTTAGAGTCGGGTATTATATAACGCGGATATATTGTGGCGCAATTGTTTCTTTGGCGTAAATTTTGCGATGTGTTTTTGGTACCATTCAATTCGTCTTATCAAGACAAACGTATAAAATATAAAAAAATCGCTTTATTTTGAATTATTTGGTCATATGTACTACTGTACTATATCGGTTGTAAAGCAGTGTTCCAAATCGAAAATCGATTAGAGATTTGCAGGTGGCGGGAACTTCTGAGATTCATCAATATCAATCAATAATATATTATTACATATATTTAATTCAACAGAGGTCACACCTTTTTGCAAAGCACTTGTTTTTTATATACTGTTCCCAAAACCGATACGCATGGTGGGCAGATTTTGTATCGGTATTGAAAAGTTATCAGATTTGAAAACATTATAAACTATTAGATTTATATAACGGAAACGGGCTTGGTAGACTAATTTGACAGGTTAACGATTTTGAGAGTTCAACAGTAGTATCATAATCAAAGATTTTAGCTAGAATCCAAATTATATCCAAGCCATACTAACTAACTAATCGATTTGCAGATTAAAGAAATCGATAATTTCTGATCTTATAGCGCTTTGCAAAAAGATGTGACCCATGATTTTTGTGATAATGAACGTGAGGTTCTATATTGTTTATTAATTCATATTTTCTATCATTTATTTATTGGTAGGATTGAATTTTTTGGTCCCGATTTGGAACATTATTTGCAAAAAGATGTAACCCCATGATTTCTGAGACCCTAAATCGTCTACAATGACAGTTTGACCCTCTGCAGATCATGATGTCATGTAAAAATCAGCCGATTCTAGTAGATTTTTCGATTCTAAAATCACAGAAATTTTTCCGCTAACATCACGAAATCACAGGGTCATGATTCATATTTTCATGTGGCCAAATGATTTCTGTGAAAGATTGTCGTTTTATATTTTCAAACGGTTACGTTTTATTTCTTTGATGAAAGAATCTCTGATATTGTGATCTGCAAAGGTCACATCTTTTTGCAAAGCGTAATAATAATTGCCCATTCTAATGGTACTACTGTATATACTTTATAAAAACGGTTCGAGTAAAATTCGCCGACAATCTACCGAAATTGGTTTTATACCTATAAAGCACCTTTCATTAAAAACGTCTGTTATCCATACTGTAGTTACTTGGTTAGATTTTTTTTAAAAAAAACACGATAATATAATGACAATAATTCTGTAATTGTCCGAAGCGGAGGAGCCACAAAAACATCCAATTTTTTTTAAAAAGCGCCAAATTTTGAAACATACAATGGGTTATTATTGGTATCAAGTAGAAAGAGAGTAAAAAAAAAGATCATAAGAAAAATATTGATAATAACTTCAAATTTTTCATATACGATATTGCAATTTTATTGTTAGAATCCTATTATTTTTTCACATACCTGTACTTGAGGTAGGTCTGGATATTGAGTTTGCCAAGGCGGCCACCCTAAATTCTTTAATTGATCAATGTCACTGCCGCAACA